GAGGTTTCAAATGAGCTTGACACTTAAGTTGGGGTTGAATCAGGGTTTCATTGCAATTATAATTTCAATGGACTGATTTCTTTGTTTTCTCAATTGTTATACGCTCAAGAAGAGGGGGAAAGAGTGTTACTGCCCTTTAAAACAACCCGAATTATAGGGTCAGAATGAGGATTATGTGAGAGATTTATGACTAGCACAGTGCACGTTACCTGCCAGGTAGGAGGTCCCTAAGTGGTATCTGTCATTCTTGCGTTCTTTTGATGGAGGACATGTGAAGGTTTAATGAAGCGATTGGCATTCAGTGATGCTAAGTAAGTGTGGTTTATTGAAATAATTTCTTCCCTCCTTGGTCTGTGAGCTAGAAAACCCAGGTGAGACGTGGCACTGTTGACAAGCATCCCCGTGCCTGTCTACTCATTAAGAGAGCTCTGCAACATGGGAAAGAGTAAGGGACCATTCAGGGTACTGGGGGATCAAAGCCTGTAGGAATGATGGCACCATCCAAAAAGGAAACAGCCAGAACAATAGCCATTACCTTGGACTGTCCCAGGCAAATAGACACATATGGTCATCTTGTCCCAGAGCTGTGTGTGTAACAGTATTTGTGTCACACTGTCTAAAATTGCTTTCTGTTGTTTTATTTAGTTCTAATAAGTGGTACCCTCACTTAATAGAAGACATTGAAGTTTATAGTTAGGGAGTGCTGGAGGAGGGCCACCAACTTACCCTGTTAACTCAAGACTCTGATAATTATCAACTCCACCAAGCCTAGTTGGGCATAGGTCCTGTTCTTTGAGACCCCAAGATTGGGTGTTTCAGGGAAGCAGATTCTGGCTATGTTGGAAACTTTAATAGAGCTTGTTATGAACTGAATGTTTGTACACCCCCAGATTCATATGTTGCAATCTGATTCTATGTGTGGTGGTATTAGGAGGAGGCAGTTAGGTGTCAGGGCTTTGCCCTCACCAGTAGGACTTGTGTCCTCAGAAGAGACAAGAGAGCTAGTTGGCTCTCTGTCTGCTGTGAGGATATAAGAAGTCAGCAGGCTGCAACCAGGGGAGGGCTGCATTAGTCTGTTTTCTGCTGCTAATAATACAGTATCAAAGACGGGATAAATGTAGAAGAAAAGAGGCTTATTTTGGCTTATGGATCTGGAGGTGCCTTCTTGTTGGCAGAAATCGAGGTAGCACAGGGCAGAGAGAGAGGGTGCTTGGATACGTGTCTGGTCTCTCCCTCTTATAAAGCCACCAGCATGTAATCACAGGAATTCCATAAGGTGACTTTACCTAACTGTAATTACCTCCTAAAAGCCCCATCTCTAAACACCAAGGTCAGATTAGGTTTTCACCCTCTGTTTTCCTCGAAGTGGGACTGAATTTCCTCATTTTGAGCCTTAGGAGACACTCAAACCATAGCAAGGGCCCTCCCTGGAAAGCACCCTGCTGGCTTCCTGATTTCAGACTTCTGGCCTCTGGACCATAACCAATCAACACTTGTTTAAGCCACCAATCTATGGTCATTTGTTACAGTGGCCCATGAAAATACATACATGGCATCAAAGCCACTATCTAACCAGGCACAGTGGCTCACGACTCTAATTCCAGTGGCTCAGGAAGCTGAGATAGGAGGTCAAAGCCAGCCTCAGCAATTTATTGAGGCCCTAAGGAACTTAGCAAGACCCTATCTCAAAATAAAAAACATAAAGGGCTGGGGGTGTGATTCAGTGATTAAGCACCCCTGGGTACAATCCCTGGTACCAAACAAACAAACAAACAAAAAGCCAAAAAGCCTCCTGCCAATCCTCTCTCTCTCTCTCTCTCTCTTTTTTTTTTTTTTTTTTGGTACCAGTGATGGAACCCAGGGCACCTAACCGCTGAGCCACATTCCCAGCCCTTTTTATATTTTATTCAGAGACAGAGTCTTACTAATTTGCTTAATGCTTTGCTAAATTGCTGAGGCTGGCTTTGAACTTTCAATCCTCCTGCCTCAGCCTCCTGAGCCATTGGAATTATAGGTGTGCACCACCACGCCCGGCCTTTCTTAGGATCTTTGTAGAGGGGATCTAGTATGGGTATGAGGTCGCTCAAGATTATTTTAAAGGTTCCCTCCAACTTTGTATGTCTAACCAGGGCAGTCTTTGTGTGCTCTTTGAATCCCAATATCCATTTCTCATTTGCTTGGGAGATGTTAAAGCTGGTATAGAAGTAGAACCAAGTCCCAGAGACAGCCTTGGGCCTGATCCGAACACCCCCACTTGGCAGCTGGACAGCCCCACCCCACTTGGGGCTGTGTAAGCTCTTACACCTGATGAGTATCTGTTTTCTCATTGATAAGGGTTTTGAATGATGGTTCCTTCCTCCCCTGCAGATTGGCTGAGACGGTGAAATAAAGTGGGTATTATAAATAGGGAAATGCTGTACAAACATAAACAATGCTTCAGTTGGCCAGCTTTCCCAGTTGCTTGTCTTATCCATTTATAGAGAATAAGAACTATAGGAAGAGTACAGGTTGTGGAGTCAGACTGCCCAGGATTAGAGTTCCTAAATAGCACCAGCCACTCGTGTGCCCCTAGCCAAGTGGTGTGTCCTTTCTGGACCTCAGCACTCAGAAAAGCTACTTTTTGTGGATCTGTGAAGTCCCTGAGTGAGGCGTGGAGCCTGGTTCCTGGCACACAGCCCTCCGTCACTGGTGGTTCTTAAAGATGTCTCTTTTCTGTGTTCTGTAACATTAACCACATAGACCTTTATCATGCTGAGGCCCTCCCCTGCCCTCTGCCAGCTCTCTGTTGTCTAGTGGGCACTCTTCCTCAGTCCTCACCCTCTGTCTCCACCGAAGATGCTTCCTGGCATGCTAGAAATCCCCTCTATCTGTTTTTCTCTGAAGATGTGTTTTGTTTATAAATCATTCCTACTCCTTACAATTCAATAAAAACTCAATTGGTTTTCTACTGGTCCTGGGCAGGGATGAGGGGTAGCATATTATTATTTTATAAAAAATATGAATAATAACATAAGACATAAAACAGTCTTGGCCATACAGGAAAGGGTCAATAAATGCTTGCTAGCTTAAAGCATAAGGGTTGGTTCAGACCATTTTTTCGGTTGCTACTGTGTTTTCTGAGAGAACTAGTCCTGGCTTCCAGTACTGTCTTTTTAAAAAAATTTTTTTAATTGGAAAAAAAGCATGCATATGGTGGAATATTCACACAGAACATTAAAAATACATAAAGGAGAGCGACTCCCTCTCCCTGTTTTCTGTCTTTCCTGGAGATGTCACCTATTAAGAATTCTGTCTGAGGCTGGGGATGGAGCTCAGAGGGAGAGTGACGCTTGTCTAGCACACAGGAGGCCCCGGTCTGATCCTTTGCACTGCAAGGGAAAAAAATTCCTTCTGTGCTGTGCATAGTCTAAGCTATGTGTGTGAATCCTCTTTCCTTTGTCTTAAACCCAGAGCAATTTACACCTTTGGGTGGCTTCTGTTGCTATTTGGCAAGCTAGGTGCTATGGCCCTGGAGTTGACACAGGTCCCCTGCACCCTTCATGGAATTTGATTGCTGGGGTCCTCCAAGTGGGGGATGAGCAGGCTTCAGGCTCAGGTTCTGACCTCTGACTGGCATTAGCAGTTGGGCCCTACCACCCTGCAGATTAAACATGCCCGAGAGAGTCTCACGCCACACACCCCTTAGTCTCTCTATCTGCAAAAGGAGAGAAGGATAGTGGTGCACTGAGCGCCCCTGAGTGCTATAAAGCATATAAGGTTGGGGCTTTCTGGGAATCTGAGGCAGCATGAAGATCCCCCTTCAATCCCTGATTCTTGTAATTATGCCAAAAAAATTTTCAAGACATGTTGCTAAGAGTAGCAGGCATGAGTTTATTAGAAAGGATAGGAAAGGGGAAAGGAAGACACTCTCAAGGGAGAGAGTGGGTCCTCTCAAGAGAGGGGACGGCCCACCTGTCTTACTCTCCAGTTTTATTGGGTGGGGGGAGTGTCCCAGAGTGTCTTTAGAGTTCTGCCCAGGTCCACCTCTTGACTTTTGAGTGACAGCAGGATGACATCAGATTTTCAAGTCCCCACTACCATGGCAACTCTAGGTCACTTTGGCCCAGGCTGACCAGTTCTAATTGGACCTTGTTCTTAATGGTTTCATTATTAGGGGGGTGATCCTCATCTCCCTGAGTTCTGGAATCTGGTCTGTGTAAGGGTCACAGTGTGTCTCCCCATTCCCTCCCCGCCTCAGGGTAGCAAGTGCTCTTATCTGCATTTCCCGGGCCTGGGCCTGCATTTCTCCTGCAGATAACAGATTGTTTGCGGAGGAATGTAACATATCTTGGGGACTTAAGACATGCAGGGCTGCAGGCAAATTGCTTTTTAAAAGTGAAAACATGTGGGGGTCAGCACAGTGGGCCCAGTTTTAGAATGATTCCCTTGGCCTCATGTTTCCACCTATCACATCTCTTTGTCCCCTATCACTAGGGTTTTTTCATTTTGGGGCAGTACTGGGGACTGAACTCAGGGGCACTCGGCCGCTGACCCCCATCCCCAGCCCTATTTCGTATTTTATTTAGAGAGAGGGTCTCACTGAGTTGCTTAGCACCTCCATTTGCTGAGGCTGGCTTAGAACTCACAATCCTCCAGCTTCAGCCTCAGGCCAGCTCACTAGGGGTTTTGCAGGGGCCTCTACTACTATTCCTGAGGGATTAGTGAGTGGCTGGGAGACAGGGTGACAGGGCAGGTCCTTCCCTGAGGGTGCCCGGCCCTAGGAGCAAAAACTCTGCTCTTCATTTCTGCTTCTCTCCCTCCAGTCTTCCTTTCTTCTTCCAGGTCCCTCCCTCCTCCCAGCTCCTCCAGGTCTCTCCCTCCCTCCACCTCCTCCCTCTCCTTCCCTCCCTCTCTCCCGCTCCTCCCGGTCCAGCTCCTCCCACCGCACGCGCTTCCCCGCGTCGGTTTGAAAACCCGGGCCGGAGCGCCGGCAGGACGGGATCTGCGCATGCGCAGAGCGGCGCCGCTCGGCCCCAGTCGGAAGCGCCAGCCGTGAGCCGGGGGAGCGGCCGCTGAGGCAGCTCGGCCCGCTGCCCGTCAGGCCGTTGGCTCCTGCTCCGGCCCGGGCCACCGGCTGTGTAAGTGCGAAGCGGGGGGCTCCGGGTCAGGGAGTCGGCCGGCCCGGGGAGGGCGCGTGTGGCGGCCGCGCAGCCGCCGTGGCCTCGCGGAGGGGCTCGCCAGCCCACACCTGTCCGGCCGGGTCTGCCCACCTGCCCCGGGTCGCCGCCCCGCCCGGCTGCGATCGGCCCCGCTCGCGGCCCCGATGCCCGTGTGCCCTGCGCGCACCTGTCCGGGGCCGTGTCCACGCCCGCGGCAGACTCCGGCCGCACCTGCCGCTGGGCCGGGCCTGGGCGCGCCGGATCCGCGAGGTGCCCGCCGCCTCCGTTGGGTGCCCTCGGGCTGGCGCTCCTGGTGCGGGCGGCGACACGCCCCTCGCCCCGGGGCCCGCCGCTCTCCTGAAGTCGGCTGCGGGAGGAGCGCCTCGAACCCTCCCTGCAACTCTCGCTTGTGCTTGTGCGGGTGCAGCCGTGGGGCAGGAAAGTGTCACTCCGCGCTGGCCTGTGATCGCCTCTGTCAGTGTCCCCTCCGCCCGCTCACCTTCCCGACGACGTAAATGCCACCATACCCCTTTTTTGTGATACTGGGTACTTAACCCAGGGGCGTTCTACCAATCAGCTGCACTCACTTTGAGACAGGTTCTCCTAAATTGATGAGGCTGGCCTTGAACTTGCCAGCCTCTTGCCTTGGCCTCCAGAGTAGCTGGGATTACAAGCATGCACCACCTTATGCGTCCATAAAAGCCTTTCAACTGGAAGTTTTCTGTTGTTAGGATGCAGTGTGTTGTCTTCACATGTTTTGTGGAGAGGGAAATTAAAATGCTGAAACAGGGCTCTGTTCATTTCATAATGAGCTGAAGGTTTGAGGCTATGACTGAAACCCACCCCCACCCCCTCATTTAAACCAGTGACTGCTCATTTCTAAAAAGCACAGTAGCTACTTTCTGGGCCAGCTTTATTAATATTTGAAACAGAAGCACCAGCCTCACCATGTTGGAGACCTAAGAATGTTGCAGTACTACAGATTTGTCAAGATTTTGTTATGTTTTTAAAATTACACAGCAGACTAGTAGTGGAGAAGGAAAAATAATTGTCAAGACCCCCCCCCCCCCCATGTTGAGAATTCGTCTCAGGACCTCAGGCATGCCAGGCAAGCACTTTACTATAACCTAATCCCCAACTGGTTTTAAAAATTTTTGAGACATGGTCTGGCTAAGTTGCTAGAAGTTGTGATCCTCCTGTCTTGGCCTCCTGAGTATCTGGGATTACAGGCATGCAGCCAGGCTCAGGAAATGTTTAAAAAATTGACAACTTTGTTGATAAATCCTTTACCTAGCAGAAAACCTGCTTGTTTAAGTGTATTTTCCAGATATTTTCAATATATTTACCATTGTGCAACCACTACCATTCCAGAACATTTTCCATCATCCCAGAAAGAAGCTCCACACCTGTTTGCAGCCCTTTCTCATCCCCCTGCTACCCACTCCCCACAGCCACTGATTTGTTTTGTGTCTATGGATTTGCACGTTCTGGCCGTTTCATATTAGTGCCATACGTGTTGTTTGTGTCTGGCTTCTTTCAGCATAAATCATCCATGTTTTAGCATGTGTCAATACTTTGTGCTTTTTGTGGCTGAAAAACATCCCATGGCATGGATAGACCATCTTTTGTGTGTCTGCTTGGCACAATGCACATCTGATTTGTTTCCTCACTTTGGCTAATTTGAATGTTGCTGCTATGTACAAGGTTTTGACCTGCCGGGACACATTTTCAGATCTCTTGGGTACATACCTGGGAATAGAATGATAGTTTTCTAGCAACTCTGTTTCACTCTTTGAGAAGCTACCATGCTGAACAAATCCATTTTGATGTCTTCATAGTTGCTCTAGCTTTGTCTCGGACATTGTCTGCCTGGTGTTGGGCCGCGTTCCATTAGATCCCCTGGAAGGAGGCAGTAGGGAGGCCTGGCTGGAGCCTGAGCTCCAGTTTGCCAGTGTGGAGCAGGACCAGAGCAGGCTATGAGGATGGGCTTCCCATGCGAGACCCAGGGGTGTTGTGAAGTCTGAAGTGCGGAAAGTTGTCCACAATTGTAGTATACTTCCTGTTCTCAGCTTCTCTAAGACCTCCTGCTTCTTGGGTCAGAGGCATGGTTTGAATCTGAGACAGATTTTTATGGGAAGTTTGCTGTGGTCCTAAGAAGCTTCAGGGACAACTTTTGCTGAGGTGGTGTGCCAGGACATGGGTGTGTCCCCTCCTGTGTTTCTCGGTGTCCAGTTACAAGTGGAAGGGACCCTGAAGAGGACCTGGTTTGTAGGTTAAATCCCAAAGGTTAGAGGATTGATAATTGGGTTGCTTGTTTTTGTTTTTGCTCAGATAGGATAACAGAGAGACACGCAGCCACTATGTACTCTCATCATCGTTTCATAAAAATGAGATTTTTATTTTTTTTTGAGATGGTCTTGCTGTGTTGCCCATGCTGGTCTTGAACTCTCGGGCTCAAGTGATCCCCCCACCACAGCCTCCCAAGTGCACCACATCTCCCAAGATGACAGGCATACCCTGATGTGTGCTGCTAAGACTGTTTTAACACCAAAAAAGAAAGAAGTTACACTAAAAAGAAATGATGATCATAAGGCGGGCACAGTGGTGCACGCCTGTAATCCCAGTGGCTGGGGAGGCTGAGGCAGTAGAAGTAGGATCACAAGTTCAAAGCCAGCCTCAGCAATGGCAAGGCACTAAGCAACTCAGAGAGACCCTGTCTCTAAATAAAATACAAAAAAGGCCTGGGGATGTGGGTCAGTGGTCGAGTGTCCCTGAGTTCAATCCCCAGTATATATAAAAAAAAAAATCATGGTCATAGTTATTGTTCACAAGGCACTTATTAGGTTTGCTTAAGTTTTATAAAAAAGAGCATACATTCCTATTTTTCTCATTTTTCTACAGAGGAGAGGAACTGAACACTCCCCTAACCAGACCTGTGTTGAATGCCAGTGTCCCCCTGTCTTCAGGCAGAACGGCATCTACAGCACACGTGACTTGTGAGTCCTCACTTTTGCTCCTTGGAGAGGGTACGGTGGGAGGAACAGCAGGGCAGAGGAGGACTGTGGTTCTCCATGCAGCAGCTGGTTGCGTGCTAGAGTATAAGCTCTTTGAATTTAGACTTTCTTCCTTTTTTTAACTCTTGAAAATTTTTGAAAAATATAACATCAAATATATAATGTTTGAACACATGACCTATGTATAATATTTGAAATACATATTTTTAATTCATTTTAAAAAATATCTTTAATTGTAGATGGATACAATACCTTTATTTTGTTTATTTTTTTTATGTGGTGCTGGGGATTGAACCCAATGCCTCACACATGCTAGGCAAGCACTCCAACCACTGAGATACAATCACAGCCCCCATATTTTTAATTCTTAAAAGATTTTGGAATATACATAAAACATGTAATGCTTATGTACAGTTTTTTAGAAATATCTTTAATTAATTAATTAATTTTTATGTGGTGCTGAGGATCGAACCCAGGGCCTTACCTGTGCTAGGTGAGTGCTCTACCATTGAGCCCCAGCCCCAGCCCCCTTATGTACAGTTTTGAGGGTAACCACACAAATCCTCTGTACCTGCCACCCGCTGGGGAAGCACAGTGTCTGCTCTTTTCCTCACAAACATATTCCTCTACCACCTAAGTACCACTACCCAAGTTTGCTTATTTTTTTTTTTTTTTTTTTTTTCTGTATGTGTAAATATTCTTCAACAAAATAGTGTTCAGTGTTGCCTGTTTTTTAAAAAAATTTTTCCTTGCTGGGAGTTGAACCCAGGACCCGGTGCATGGTGGGCAGGTGCTCAACCACTGAAGGGCGCCCTAGCGCAGGTTTTGCCTGTGTGTGAATTTGATGTCAATGGAATCCTACTGTTTGTTAGTCGGCTACTTGGTTTCATTTGCTCTTGCCCGTTGGTTTTGAGCTCCACCCATGTTCCTGCAGTGTAGCTGTGGGTCGTTCACTATCACTATTCTAGTTTATTTATCCTTTCCTTTCTTACTGAGCATTGATTGACATTATCTCTGCATCTGGCTTCTGTGAACCCATGTTTACGTTTCCTCACCATCCGTGTGCCAGAGTTTTCGTGGGAGGAATCACCAGGTCCAGAGAGCACATGTGCTGCCTTTGTATGTGCCACAGTACTTTCCAAAGTGGACATGCTATCTGTGCTCCCATCTGTTGAATGGGAGAAATGACCTTTGATCCACAGCTTTGCAAACACTGGCTGCTTTTCATACTTACATAGTTTTGCCTGTACACCTGAGTTCATAGCAGCAGTATTCACAGTAGCCAAAAATATAAGCAAGTCGGGTGCGGTGGCTCACGCCTGTAATTTCAGCAGCTCGGGAGGCTGAGACAGGAGAGTCACAAGTTCAAAGCCAGCCTCAGCAAAAGTGAGCGCTAAGCAACTCAGTGAGACCCTGTCTCTAAATAAAATATAAAATAGGGCTGGGGATGTGGATCAGTGGTTGAGTGCCCCTGAGTTCAATCTTTGGTGGTTCCCTCCCCAAAAGTAAAAGCAACCCATGTGTCCATTCAATGGATGAATGAATGAAATGCGGTATTTGCACACAATGGGATATTATTCAGTTTGAAAAAGGGAGGGAATTCTTCACATGCTACAACATGGGTGAACCTTAGAGACTTTCTGCTAAATGAAATAAGTTAGTCACAAGAGGACAAACAGTGCATGATTTCAGTTATGTGAGTTACTTAGTAAGGTCAGATTCCTAGAGACAGAGGGTACAGTGGTGGTGGCCAGGAGCTGTGGGGAAGGGGAGCTGATGTTTAGTGGGCCCAGAGTTTGAGAGCAAAATTCTGGAGCTGGGTGTGGTGAAGGCTGCCCAGTAGTGTGAGCATACTTCATGCTGCACAACTGTATGCTGAGCCATGGTAGAGTGCATGTATATTTTAAAACAATAAAAACTTTATTTTTTTTAAAGAGAGAGTGAGAGAGAGGGAGAGAGAGAGAGAATTTTAATATTTACTTTTTAGTTATCGGCGGACACAACATCTTTGTTTGTATGTGGTGCTGAGGATTGAACCCGGGCCGCATGCATGCCAGGCGAGCGCGCTACCGCTTGAGCCACATCCCCAGCCCAAAAACTTTATTTTTTGGTACTAGGCAACCCTGGGATTCTTTGAGATACATCCCTATCCTTTTTTTGAGATAGGGTCTCACTAAGTTGCTGAGGCTGGCCTTGGACTTGCAATGCTCAGCTTCCTGGTTGCTGGGATGATGGGCATATGCCTCTGCATCCGGCTGCTTTTTTTTGGTCACACTGGTGGATGCGAAGTGGTCTGTCACTGTTTTTTTCCTGATTGCCACTGAGGTGGACCTATTTCTGGGCATGGATTGGCCATATGAGTTTCTTCTTCAGGAGGCTTGTATTCCGACGGGGCCTGCATCTTCCTTGCTCGTGGAGTGCCTGCCTCTTGGTGCCCTTTGTTGAGGAGACTGTCCCTCCTGCCCTTGCACAGTGGCGCTCGTTGCGTTTCACATCTCCTGGCTGTGTGGATCTGGTTCTGAGCTGGGTTACTTTTCGCTGGTCTAATTGTCTTTGTGAGAATACTGTGGTAATGGTGGCTTTTTTATCTGGCTTTTTTTTTTTTTAATAGCTTTATTGAGATATCATCCAGGTCACCAACCTAGGTGTACAGGCTGGTGACCTGGGGCATAGCAGATCAAGCTGCATAGCCACCACCACAATCAGTCTTAGGACACTTTTATCATGCTGCAAGGATACTCTGTTACCCCATTAGCAGTCCTACCTGGTCTTGCCATCTTGTGGGATAAATGCCCCTTGTTGGTGGTACCTCAGGAGTTTTGTAGCTACTCTTGCCATAAATTAGTTTGTTACCTTTCATCAAAAATCTGTTAGGGATCAGTGCAGTAGTGCATACCTATAATTCCAGCCACTTGGGGGCTGAGGCAGAGGATTGCAAGTTCAAGGACTGCTTGTTCAGTTATGTGAGATCTTGTCTTGAAAAATAACAAGGGCAGAGGTTGTAGCTTATTGGTAGAGCAATCCCCAGTATTGCCAAAAAAAAAAAAAAAATCTTGGGATGTAGTTCAATGGTACAGCACCTCTGGGTTTAATCCCCATTATCACCAAAACACACACACACACACAAAAAAAAAAAAAAAAAAAAAAAAAACAAACTTGGTAGGAATTCTATTCAGAATTGCATTGATTCTGTTCATCTGGGAGAATTAACTTCTTTAGGATATTCACTTCCTGTCCATGAGCACATCTGGCACCCCAACTTTTCTGTGTTCACTGGACGTTAGGAATGTGCATGATGAAATTTTGCACATGGTTAGTTTCAACTGTGGCTTCTCACAAAAGGGAAAAGTAAGTCTCAGTGACATTGCATGGGTCACTTACATCACACAGCAGTGGTCAGTGAGAACCACAAGCCCTGACTAGGTAGACCTGGTGCTGGTATTGAGGTCACTGTCCCCGCTGCTGATAGGACAGAAGCACAGGCTTTGCGTCTCTGAACCGGTGCTGAGGTCATCTCTGCTTCTCAGAGTCTAGCTTTCTCTCTTTGGACAGGGCCTTCAGGATGAGCGTCCCTGACTACATGCAGTGTGCTGAGGACCACCAGACCCTGCTGGTGGTTGTGCAGCCCGTGGGCGTGGTCTCCGAAGAGAACTTCTTCAGCATCTACCGGAGGATCTGCTCCGTGAGCCAGCTGAGCATGCGGGACTCTCAGCGTGCACTCTTCATCCGTTACCGGCACCACTACCCGCCCGAGAACAATGAGTGGGGCGACTTCCAGACGCACCGCAAGGTTGTGGGCCTCATCACCATCACTGACTGCTTCTCTGCCAGGGACTGGCCTCAGACCTTCGAGAAGTTCCATGTGCAGAAGGAGATCTATGGCTCCACGCTGTACGACTCCCGGCTCTTTGTGTTCGGGCTGCAGGGGGACGTGGCGGAGCAGCAACGCCCTGACGTGGCCTTCTACCCCAGCTATGAGGACTGCAGCTCCGTAGAGAAGCGCATCGAGGACTTCATCGAGTCACTCTTCATTGTGCTCGAGTCCAAACGCCTGGATAGGGCCACGGACAAGTCTGGGGACAAGATTCCCCTCCTCTGCGTCCCCTTCGAGAAGAAGGACTTCGTGGGACTAGACACTGATAGTAGGTAAGTATACTTGAGGAACTGCTGCCCCTGAGACACTGACCCCTGGACGGGGGTTTGGGTTGCTTCCTTCTGTAGAGTTTATTGCTGTGGGGACAGAGAAGTGTTGTCCACTGTTTTTCAAGACCAATGACTTAAAAACAGGTGGCCTTTGGGTAAGGGAATCCCTGGGGTTAGTGTGTGCATTCAGTACCCTTTGGGGGCCCTGGTGAGACTCCTGCAGCTTCCTACCAGTACAGTAGCCACAGCCACTTGTGTTGAGCATAGCAATGGACTGGCTGCATGCCCTGTATCCCAGGGAGTGCTAGATAGAGCAGGGGAGGTCAGGCCAGGTCTCCTTGCCATCCTCTTCACTCTGCCCACTGCCTGTTTCTCTGTCCTGCAAAGCTGCTGTCCCGTGGAAGAAGTAAATGTGAGCTTAGCAGCAGCCTCTACAAGAGGGAGCCCTTCCTGCTAGGGGGAGTGCAGGGAGCTGTTGCTCCTGGCCTTGTGGCCTCAGCAGGCATCTGGTCACTTGAGTCTCTTTCTTACCATGGGACTGGGATGGTATTCTGTGAGGATCACTTGGCACAGCGCCTGCACAGAGCAAGTCCTTGGGTGCTCCTGGAACTGATCTGTGGCCACACAGCAGTTTTCTGGTTGGTGGTAAGTCTGAGGAGAAGATGTCACAGAACCAAAAACAACTGTCCAGTCCAGCCTAGGAGTTGGAAGCATAGAGTGGCCCTGTCACACTGTGTGAACTTTGAGGGTCTGCAGGGAAGTTTCATTTCCTCACCTGCACGTGAGCTTTTGGCTTAAGGATGGGGAGTGAAGTGGCCCTCATGGTATGCGCATTCTCACAATTATAAGCACTAGTCACCCTCTGCACTTCAGTGAGCCTGTGAGGCCCATGAGCTGGCTCAGATCCATTCCCCTGGTGGCTGGTGACCTGGATCTGGTGCAGGAGCGGAGCTCATCTCACCTTGCCTGCACCTCCTGCTGGCAGAGAGGGTATGCATCTCTCCTGCACAGACCCTTCATTCTGTGGCTGGATGTACGTCCAGTTTGAGTTTGGCCCAGGGGCTGTGTGCTGGGCTCTCTGATGGGCAGCCTGCCTGCCGCCCTCGCCTCCCAGTGCCCTGGGTGTGGGTGTGTTACATAAAGGCCCCGCCTGCCCCGCTCCCAGAGCCATGGTCATTTCTTGTACATGTAGAGTGGTAGCTATCAGAGTTTTTGTTCTTGTCCGTTTCTAATTTTGCTTGTTCCTCTTTCTTTTCTTTTCCTTTGTTTCTCTCATACCGCCCTGTGAGTGTGTTGTTGGGTCTGAAAAGGTAGGCCGTGCACGCGCTGCTCCCTGGCCGCGCCCTGTGAGCTGGCTTCCCTGGCCCTCATTGCTTTCAGAAACAGAACTTCCCTGCTGCCTGGATTCCTATGTTATCTGGATAACCTTTTAATTTTTAATGTTTGAATCATAGCTTTGTTAGCATGTAACCCATTGGTGTTTGATATTTGTTGAAATACTTGCTGTGGGAGAACATGTTTGGTCTTCAGTATTCAGAGACAAATGAGGCTTCATTCATTTTTTGGTTTCTTTTGAGAAAGCAAGATGCCCCTTGATTTCAGGGGAGTTTTAGCTGGGGACTCAGGCTGCCGTGCCTTGCTTGAGCCTGGGCTTGGGAACAGATGCTCAGGCTTGTGCTGGTGGCTGTGGCTGTGGGGTGCATGTTGGCGGCCCTCGGGAGCGAGTGTGCTGGGCGCTGGAGCTGCGGGGGTGGCCCCTCCACCTTTGCTTTCACCTGAGCCTGCATTCCCTCTTCCCTCACCTCCACACTTCCCCCAGCAGGGGGCAGAGGTAGTCCCCACACTGAGTCCAGTCCATGGCCTCTTGGGAGGGTTCAAGGGTGACCTTTCTAAGTGTAGGGCAAGAGGACCCCTCCCACAGCTGGTTCGCTGGAGTCTGTGGACACGGAACCTCTGTCTCTGGCCACCAGTTCCTCTCTGCCTCCGCATTCAGAGTGGAGTGGGGGTGGGCGGGGTCCCTGCTTCCGTCACAGGCCTTGCACCAGCTTTCCTCTCCCCTCTAGGCAGGAAAGCCACGTCCACCACTGGTGGCATGCCATTCATTTGTGTTATGGATCTGGAGCATTCAACGGATGGTCAGCTCCAAGGACAGTCTTTGTCTGGCCTCCTTGCTGTCCCCAGTGCACTGTGGGGAAAGTGTCACTTCTGTACACTGCTGCTACCCACCAGCTTTCCTGGAGCCTGGTATTTTCTTTAGTGCTGTGGCTCAAATGAGAACACATTCATTCTTCACTTCCTTTATCTCAACTGAGATAGGTGGGACTTCCTGAAGGATTTTCTTACATTCAGGGTAGGGGGACAAAAGAGAAATGAACATGGCAGGTGTGGGAAATTGGAGCTGTCCACCTGGGAAGTACAGGACAGGGTTTCTCCATGACTGTGGGGCCTTCCTGTCACTGGAGCCTGGAGTCCATGTGAGAAGTACTTGGCCTGGGCTCTGCTCTTCTCCCTTGCCCATCTCTGGCAGGAAGCACATTAAGGCCATCACCCAGGAGCTGCCTGGAATTGTGAATCTCTGTCCTGGGCCTCCTGTGTGAAGGACAAGTGCCCATCCTAAGTGGAACGGGCAGGTCCTTGTTAGTAAGGACCTCCAGTGCTGCTTCAGCACACATTTACTGGGTGCTTGCTGGGTGCTGTGCTAGGTGCTAGAACCAGCTGAGGGGTACTTTAGAGACAGGAAAGAGGAGACCAAACACAGCGCACAAGTTCTGATTTCAACAGCTGGGTGTGGAGTGTGGGCCACTGATGGTCAGGGGAAGACTGTCGGGTGCCTGTCTCAGGTGGAGATTTGAGTTTGGGGCCCAGATCCACAGAGGAGTTGAGTCCACAGAGGCTCAGGTGAAGGGAGAACTGTCACTCTCTGGACTGTATTTAGAAGCATGGATGTGGATGAACTGAGGAGGCTGTAGATTGAGGCAGGAGGAGGCCTGGGGCTAGCCTGTGGGTCTGGCCGAGAACAAGAGGTCAGAAAAGAGCCCAGACTGGGGCAGCGTTGTGTGTTTTCTAAGCTTGGTTTGTTAGGGACAGCTGCCATGTGTCTTAGAGGTGCTGACGAGTGGCAGGCTGCTACTGAAGAAGTCGAGGTCCCATGAAGCAAGATGCCATCTGTCTCAGGCCTGGGAGCGCCTGTGTGGAGGGGGCTGCTGGTAGTGGGGAGAAGACAGTCAAGGGCTCCAGGCTGAGCAGGGGCTCCAGCCCAACAGGTGGCCGACCAGGTGGGGTCCGGGGAGTGGTGACAGGGGCTGGGGGGTGTTGGACAGTTCTGGAACAGTCTTCCCATTACAGACTTAGAGAATGAAGCCCTCCGTGGGCATGGTGGTCTCTGTGGTTAGGCCCTGACTGTGCCACTGCTGCTTATCGTTGGTTCTTCATCAGGCAGCATGCAGCTTCAGTGATGGCGGTAAAGCCCCTGCAGTGGAGTGTGAAGCATTGCATCTTAACTTCCGTCAGGGCTCTCTCCAGGTGTGGTTGTCTGGAGCTTCAGCTGTGCCAGCCGGGCACTGGCAGGGTGTTCACCTGATTGCATTTACCCGATGTCTATAATGGGAAGGCTCCCATTGTCCAACATCCCAGTGCAAAATCACGAGAGGTAACTGCTGGATAATTATGCTGGGCAAGCGCTCCGCCACTGAGCTACAACCCTGGGCCTAAAATTGTACTTTTAATATTTGAATTTTGTGTTAATGTTAAACTCATTACTACTGTGGCTTAATGCTATGCTTTCTCATTTTTGTTCTCTGTGGTGCCAGGATTGAAACCAGGGCCTTGTGCACTGCGAGGCAGATGCTCACCATGCTGAGCTATATCCCCAGCCCCGTTCTTCTTCTTCCTCTTCTTTTAAACTTTATATAAAAAAAAGTTTATTTAGCTCACTGGTTTTCATTTTTTACATACTGTTTCTTTTTTCTTTCTTTCTTTCTTTTTTTTAAAAAGTATTTTTAGTTATAGATGGACACAGTACGTTTGAGATGGCATGAGCCTTGAGCAGGATGGCGCTGGGCCGGTGGGCCTGGGTGTGGACCTTGAGGGCTATGGGAGGAGCCTGGGGGTGCAGCTTCTGCGAGCCCCATTTCTCCTAGCACTGTAGGGGTCCTTTGAAGGCTTGAAGCAGGAGAGGGCACTGCTGGCTGTGCTTTGCCACTTTGGCTGTGTGCACAGAGGCTCAGGAGAGGGCACTACTGGGGAGGTTCAGAGGCCAGCAGAGGCTAGGGATGTGGCCTAGTGTGGTTGGGATGGAGGAGCGGCTGGAATGCGGGGGTTTCTCAGGGTGCGCCTGTTGACAGGGAGAAAGCTAGCCGAGTCTGGGCGACCTCCCCCTTTCTGTTTGTGTCAGGCCTTGGTTCAAGCAGCCCTTTGGCACAGCAGAGATGAGTTCCCGGGTAGCCAGAGCTGCTGAGCTGAGGACAGTTAGGTCTGAAGGGACAGCTTCATCTTGACACCTTGGGTCCCCCTAGTCCAGTAGGAGCGGCTGTCTTCTAGAATCCCTCAGGCTCATTCTGGATGCAATTGCTTCCTCCTGGGGAACATGTAATAGCTCTTCTTCTTAAAAAAAAATCGTATCTAAGAAACTTGATGTTTGGAAGATTAGGAGTTTTTTGTATGGTTTGGGTATGGTTGCTTTGGCTTCTGAGTTGATATGGCGTTTGAAGCCTTTGCATTATTTAACAGCATGTCCTTGCCAATATTTAAAGAGCTGAAGCATGCATCCTGGGCTCTGCCCTGAAGGCTTTATTAAAGCCTGCTCTGAAATTGTGAAGATAAAGGTCCTGTTTGCTAAAGCCAAATGGTTGGCTAATAATATGCAGCATTTCTCTCTTTATAAAATAGTAATAGAGTTAATGTAAAAGTGGAACATAATTGATTTTTTAAAAAGCTGAAACAAACTTTCTTGTCCTAATGTTGCAGTTGGAAAAGATGAAAAGAAATACCCTCCTCTCATCTTGTCCAAGTGCAGTCCACAGTAGCAGTCCTGCACACCTGTTACCTTTAAAGGGTCACTTGGCAGTGCATTTGTGAAGTCAGGACCCCTCCAGCTCCTGTAACTGGCAACAATGGTCCTTGGCTTTTAGTCCTGGAGCCTGAGGCTGCCTCCCTAGCAGTTTCTAGCAGCGAGAGTGGGATAGTGCTTAGCCAGTGTGCCCTGTGGCGTGAGCAGTGACAGTGATGAGTCTCACTGCATTTTGTTTTGCAGGCATTACAAGAAGCGGTGCCAAGGACGCATGCGGAAGCACGTGGGGGACTTGTGCCTGCAGGCTGGGATGCTGCAGGACTCCTTGGTGCACTACCACATGTCAGTGGAGCTGCTTCGCTCAGTGAATGACTTCCTGTGGCTGGGGGGTAAGACGGCACGGCCAGGATGCGCCAGAGGCCCTTGTTTTCACTGTTATGGCCCTTGCCCTCTGCTTAGGGTGCCATTGCTCACGCCTTTACCTCCTGCCCATTCATCAAAACCTCCTCCATACATCAGACGATGAGGGGATGAGCAGGTGGACATTCCATAATGTCCATAACATGGGATGTTACTCAGCCATAAAAACCAAAGAAATAGTCCCAGCAACTCAGGAGGCTGAGGCAGGAGGATTGCAAGTTCAAGGCCAGCCTCGGTAACTTAACAAGACCCTGCCTCAAAATAAAAAATAAATAGAGCTGGGGATGGTAAGCACCCCTGGGTTTAATCCCTAGTATCCCTGCCCCCTCAAAAAAAGTCCTCAAAAAAGAATGAAATACTGACATCTCTGTAGCATGGGTGGGCCTTGAAAACCTTGTGCTGAGCCAGATAGGGCATGGTCCCATTTATATGATATATTCAGAATAGGCAGACCAGTGGATGTGGAAGGCAGGCCCATGTTGGGAGGGCCTGGGAAGGAAGTGGTGGCTAATGGCCAGCTGCCTTCTGGGATGGTGAAAATACCCTGGCATCAGGTGGTGATGGTGGTACAACTGTGGATAGTTCAACGTGGCTGAACTGCACACTTGAAGAAGATGAATCTGTAGTGATTTATATTTCAACTTTAAAATTTAAAGGACAAAAAAAGCTAAAACCCACTTTGAAGAACAGCAATCATGTAGGGCTGGAGTTGGGCCTGGAAATGCTTGTCAATGAGTTTTCCTTTGTGGATGGCATCTGCTGGCAGTGGGAATTTGGAGTGTGAACTAGGGTTTTCCATCAGGTGTCCTGTAAATAAATGCCTGTTAGGTGACAGGTTCATAGGCTTTTTCCTTGAGGTTGACAGCTTAGTGAGGGGGCTGTCACCCACTTAGAATAAACCAAGTCAGAATGAAGGAGTAAAGTGAGTTCTGATGTAGTTGAACACAGACATCTTCAGTGTGTGTGACATACTTAAAATGGGCTTGAGGAGTCCATAATTTGGCTTCTTGAAGAGAATAGAGAAATACAAGTGGGGAAAGAGAGGAAACGAGAGCCAGGAATAGATGGGAAGGAAAGCAGGAGCAGGGGAAGGCTCTAGCAGGAGGCAGAGACAGCCTCAATGCTCCCTGGTTTTCCCTGGAAGTGGCCTTGGGAGTGCCTGCCTTCCTGGCAGATGTGCTGGACTCCAAGATGCCATGAGACCCTGGCGCAATGGTGCCCGCTCAATGCAGGGCGCCCTGAGGGGCAGCTCCTGAGGAAGTGTGCCAGAGGTCCCAGCTGGCACCATGCATCCTTCCCCTTGGTCGCTCCGAGGGTAGGGTGGCGTTTTCCAGAGGCTGCGCAGCATCTGCACTGGTACAGACTCCAGGAGAAGCAAGCCGGAGACTCTGCTGGCTTGTAGCAAATCAGGTGTTAAGGAAATTTTAAAATGGTGAAGTAAGGCTATTTTTCCAGTATGTTATTTTTGTTTTGGAAGACAGTTATTTTCATTAAAATAGGGTGATTAGTTTATTATTATTTTAAAAGGAATTAATACTTAAATATTTAAATCCTATCTCAGTTTTATTTTATAACATGGCAAATACCTATAGATATAAACCACATTAAAAAAAAAGGTTTTTGTGGTCCTTAGTAATTTAGTAATTTAGTGTTGAGAAATTTTGAGAGCAGAAGTTTAAGCACCACTGAATTAATGAGTAAAGGTGATAAGGGTGAACTTGGGAGCACGACCTGCAAGCCGCTGGTGTGGCTTTAGATTACGAGGGAGTGCCTGTTGGCAGGAGGACGGGGTGCACCTCTGCATGGCTCGTGGGAGGAGCCAGCCTGAACATGTTTGTTGCAGTCCCAAGAGCAGCGGACACACATTGGTGTGGGTGGCGCTGCTCTAAACATCTTCAGCACCAGGCATGTGATGCATCCTGTCTCTGCAGGTCTAGCACCAGCCCAGAGCCTGCCCTGTCCAGGTGTGCAGGTGCTGCTCCCGTGGATGAATCGGTGAGCAGGTGCATGTTTCACCAGTGCACCCCCCTGCACTGTGGCACCTGGAGCCTCGTGGGTTGCCAGCCCTGACGAGGGCCTGTGAAAGCAGGGTGGCCAGTTTCTGTGTGTAGCATAACCATTGATGTTTAGGTTTGATTTTTGTTTTGAGGAAAAAACTGATGTTTTCAAATAATCTAGCTGTTTAAATCATTTTTAGCTACTGTAAATTGAGTTATTTGCGGACCACTAACTTTACTATTTATTCCCCACTTCTTTTTTTCTTTTCACATCCAGCTGCCCTGGAAGGGTTGTGTTCTGCTTCTGTCATCTATCACTACCCTGGAGGGACCGGCGGCAAGGCTGGGTCTCGGAGGCTGCAGGGCAGCTCACTTCCGGCTGAAGCAGCCAACAGACATCGACCAGGTAAGCTCTGTTATTTCTTCTGGTCTCTGACTAACTTGCAGTCTTAAAAGAAAACAGGAGGAGTTTATTGCTTTTTCCTCTGAGTTAGGGCTGACCAGTGTTTATTAAATAAAGTATGAGGCCTTTTGAGTCAGAAATCTCGCAATGAGATGTTTTCTTCTGATTTTCTTGAGTGCTTATTCTTCTTACTGAGTGCAGTTGGTCATAGTGTTGGGTTGATTTCTGGAACTCTGGCATGGAATTCCATGGTGGAGCAGCCTTGGGGATCTGCATTGGCCCTTTTTCCCCATTTCTATTTTTGGGCGAGTCTGGTCCCAGAGGACAGTTTTAATTGCTAATTCAGGGCTTGGGCTATTCTTAGGTTTTCTAATAGGTGAAGTTCTCTTTAAGGAGTTAAATTTGATTTCTCATGTTTGTTGGCATAAATGACCAGTAAAAACACATCTTTGAAGGAGCAGACCCACAAGTCCAAGTGAACTTGAACCTTTGACCCGTAACAAGTAAACTGGCCTTCATGGTGTGGGATATAGTCATCATGTTGCATAGGCCCCAAGTGTAGTGAAGAATGCAGAAACAAAACTGCTAGGTAGTTTTTGGTTCATGAGATTTTTGGGCATCCAAAAATTCCGCCCCCCCCAGACAGAAAGGATGGTTGTCAGTGTATGTTGGGGGTTTGCCTCTGAGGTGTTCATCTATTCACAGAGACCCCAGATACCTTTGGGTGCTGCTGCACAGCTGTCTGGATCCTGGTGGCCTGTGCAGCTCTTAGATGAGGCCTGACAGTTCTCAAGGGTATTTGATGGTTCTTTGGTGGGAGAGGCCCCTGAGAGCAGAGTGAAGTGGGCTGGGAGGGTGTGGGGAGTAGAGGCTGGAGAGAGGAGTGTTTCTGCTTTTGCCTCCTGGGCTTTGGTCTCCTTTGTGAGGCTCTGGCTCAGGTGCCACTAGCCTTGTGCCTTGTGGTCATGACTGCTGTCCCTGTTTCTGTCCAGTCAGTCTCCAGGCGCTGACATCGTACACATGTGGAACACAGGAGCAGGTCCCTGTTTCTCTCTAAGGAAGCCCCTCTGCACTCTGGGAAGTGCCTTTCCACTGGTGTTCTTTTTTCTGAACTGTGGCTTGAGGTGTTGACAGTGTGTGGACTATTCTGCTGGTGTGATTAGTGAGATGAGAAGCCTTTCAGGCAGCCTTGCTGAATGTAGGAAGGAAAGTCTAAAGAAGTTGGAAAACTGCTCTGTCTGCAGTAGAAAATGTCTTTATGTAGTTCTCAGAGTATAAAGATCTTGGAAACTTTTCACTGTTGAAGACTGCCTGTGGGGGGACTCTCCAGTGATGCCCAGGGGATGGCGGGGAGAGCAGGGACTCCCATACAGGAGCTGGAAGCCATTCGCCTCCTCAGAGGCAGGGCCTCGTGAGCAGATAGTGGCCCCATGTCCGTGTCAGCGTCAGGATTAGTGAGCTTGTAGCTGCCCATCTCCTGGGAGCTTATGGCTTCTGCTGCCTGAGATGAGGGCCAGACCAGCTGATTGACACCTTTCCTATACCTGGAGGAGTGGGTATCTCAGTCCCCCTCTTCAGCAGTGGAAAGCAGAGGTATAGATGCTGGTTGCTGTCAGTGTGAACTGACGCAAGTTGTGTAATCTCCTGTGCCCCAGCTTCCTTATCTGTAAAACAGGGAAGGTGATAGTAGTTCTACCTCACAGGGTCACTGAGAAGGTGGAATGAGATCACAGGTAAATTAGGACCCAGCACTTGGTGAGATTAGAAGCTGTTGCTATTACAAGTATTACTACTGTTGCCAAATAATGATCTGAGTTCAAGAATATTATTGAAAGATTTTTGACATCTCAGATCTAGACTGCAGTTTTTTTTTTTTTTTTTAGAGAGAGAGAGAATTTTAATATTTATTTTTGGTTTTTGGCGGACACAACATCTTTGTTTATATGTGGTGCTGAGGATTGAACCTAGGCCGCACGCATGCCAGCGAGTGCACTACCACTTGAGCCACATTCCCAGCCCCTAGACTGCAGTTTTCAGGCATATTTCCTCTAAGATTGGGGCACTCCCTCCCCTTAAAATTGAGTTATCTTAGCCTAACTGTAGTCCCTGCCTTGTTTTGCTTTAATTCTTCTTTTAATTCTTTCTTTTTTTCTTTAATTCTTCTTTTGTCTTAATTCAATTTTTAAAACTTTACTTTTGGTTCCACTAATAGTTTATTCTGGAGACTCGTGTATGAAACTGTAAGTCTGAGATTAACGGATGACACAGTGTATCCCAAAATTAATATTTCATTCTATAATTAATCCCTAAGAAAATGCTTATCATTGACTCACCAATGTTTCTTTTTATGGTCATCTCTACTTTTTGTTTTATCTGAACCCAGTAATAGTAGCCATCATTCTCAGAGTTATCCAGCAGTGTTGGGGTGGGGCCAGTGATAGAATCTGTGCTCAGTAGGCGCCGGGGGAGGGCTCTGGTCAGAATAGCAGAGAGTCATTCAGCACCCCAGGCCGGGGGGGCCTGCCCAGGGCTCTACTGTGGTCCACAGAGTGGGTGTCAGAGGGTGGGTGCCAGTGCTTCTCTGCGAGGGACTGAGGCCAGGTGGTCTAGCTAGCTGGGGATGTGATCCAGGTGCTCAAATGCATAGTGGTCCTTCTCAGCTACTGCAAGCAGCCCAGCCCGAAACCTGTGAGTGAGCGGCTTCTGTGGCCTTATGGGAAGAGATGTCATTGGAAATAAGAGCCAGAGTGGCCTAGGCTAAAGTCATGCCTTTTTACAGAGTCTTATTTGCAGCTAAACACCTAAAAGTCAAAATATATATTTTTTTACTTTCTTAACCTTTTAAGCATTAAGAACAACATATTGAAAATGATTCCAGTGCAAAAAACAAACAACAACAACAACAACAAAAAACCAAACAAAAAAACGTGGCTTGAAAATCCAGCTGTTGCTGAGTCACATTCTGTCCATTTTTCTAGTGATGTTGTTAGGAGAACTAGCTGTGAAGACTGAGTGGTTCTACGGAGTTTTTAGTCTGAAGAAAAGATCAACTTGCTTAAGCTAGTGAGTTTTGAGAGAGTAGACCTCTGTATTCTTTCTTGGTGGTGAATGTAGCTCTTGTGGAACTTGCAGCTTTGTTTTTGTGGCCTGAATCTTTCTCCTCATTTGTGGGTGGGATGACAGTGGAACCTGCTGAGAGCCCCCAGTGTCCAGTACAGAGTAACTGTCACAGTGACAGACTGGGTGGCATCCACCTGTCAGCTTTCCTATGTGGAGGAGAGGAAGGCAGTGTCACTAAATAGGCATGCTTTTTCAAGAACTTTTGTCTCTTAACAGTTGTGTCACCCTTTGGGAGTCACCATGCAAGGTACTGACACTGTCTACTGCTCCAAAATCAGTGATGGCTTCATGGTAGCAGGGTTCGGGGATCAGTTGGGTTTTAGAATAGAGCAAAATACAGAGCCTGGGAGGAAGCCAGCCTGATTGCTGGATGGGCAGAGCCTGTGGCGCAGCCTACCCACTGTGGACCAGGAGGTTGCCCTGGGTGCCCCTGGTCCCTTCCTGGTCAGCTTAGTTTCTGTGAGCCTCTCTCTTTTGTTGACATGCAGGGGTGTGGAACTTTTTAGATTAATTACTGAATACCATCCCTTCCTGAAGCAGAATTCAGTATGTGCTAACTAAGCTTTTAGTCATGGTTTCTGAGCATCCTAGTTAACAAACTCCCCTCATCTCTTCTCAGTATGCAGGCAATTTATTTTGCTGTGTCTTTTTCAGCAGCTTGGATGGGCTTTTTGGCCATAGGTGGAGCTGTTGTACCTTTTTTTTTTTTTTAAAGGCCTAATTTTCCTGTTTTTAAAGAAGATTTAAACAAGGTTGCTTTAATTTTATTTTTTTATCTAGTGCTTCAGAATAGCACGATGTCCATTATTTCTGGATACCTGGAAAAAGCATTCCAGTTATATCTTATTTTTGTCTGTCATCTCAGCACGAACATCTTAGGCATGCTGTGAGAGAGTGGTGAAGCTGAACTTTCCTTCCAATATTAGAAACCAGCTGGCTGTGCCTTCGTGAGAGAGAGAGAGACCACCTCTGGAGCCCCTTAAAGCTGAGAAGAACTTTGAGCCCCTGGTCTTGCACCCTGCTGTGCATTCACTGGTGGGACTCATTTTCCAAATTCAGCCACGTGGGTCTGAACGCAGGCGCTGCACCAAGCCAGGTGCTCCTAGAGAGTCCTCTCGTCTGGGCAGGGGCTGCTGATATCTCTGCAGAGTGGTGAGAACAGGAGAAGGGGCACAGTGTTCAGCAGAGGGGAAAGACCTCGTGGAAAGCCCAGCCCCGCTGGCTAGTAGTTTCTGTGTTGGAGCCATAATTTCATAATTTTGAATAATTACTAAGGGACTAAACTAGGAGGAAATGGTTTTGTGAATAAAGGTCCAGTTAAGAAGTGAGCAGGCATCGAGGAGGGCACTGCTGAGGTGGCTAGAGGGTCAGTAGCCTTCCTGAACCCCTATTCCTGGTTACAGGCCAGGCCTAGGCTGAAGTGTGTGTCTGTTGGTGAACATGTGCTGCCCCTCAGTAGCTCTCCTGCTTTCTGTCCAGCCAGTTGAGAGAGGAGACTAAAGAGCAGGAAGGTAGAGGGTGGGAATGCTACCTCCTGCTGATGAAGCCACATTGCAGTGAGGTCACAGGTGCAGGACAGTGGTTGTCAATACATGTCCCACCTCTAGCCAGGCCTCATCACGGGGGCTAGGGGGCTTACTGAGGGGACTACCTCCTCAGGCTTAAGCAGAGATCCTGGGTGCTTCCTGAGGGAGCCAGCACCAGGGGCAGGGTGGGGCAGATGAGGTGCTCAGTGGAAGGAAGCGCCTATGCTTTATTTTAGTGGTGGCTGCCAGGCTGTGGCAGAACAGATGGCCGTAGGCAGAATGGCTCCTCATGGCACTCATAGTCACGGGATTGTTCTGTATGGACAATGAAATGGTGAATGTGCTATTTGTAAGAGGAAGTTTTCAGGACACACCTTTTTGAATCCTATAAAACTGCTTAATGATGTTAATAGCTAATGATAAAACACATCTGGAGCCACTATTCTCGGGGGTTGTGCTGTGATGGGAAATGACATTTTGCAGAGGAGACTAGCTGGGTCTCACGGATACTTGGGGGTTTAGCAGATGACCAGGGCTTTCACAGGATTTTCTTTTTCCCCCCTGTGGTTCTGGGGATTGAATCCAGGACCTTGTGCAAGGCAAGCACTGAGCTATATCCAACTGAGCTATATCCCCAGCCCTCACAGGCTTTTTGATAGTAATAAAGTCAATTATTTTAAACTAAATACAAAGTTATCTTCTAAACACTGGAAATCCTTTGCTCAATCAAGTGTCCAGTAATTCAGTGTGTGTGTGTGTGTGTGTGAGAGAGAGAGAGAGAGAGAGAGAGAGAGAGCGCGCGCGCACACACAAGTGAGTGAGCTGTGGGGAGTGAGGAGGGAGTGGAGAGATCTAGATGGCTGCCTGGTTTAGGGAAGTAGTGGTAAGTTCCACAGTACCTCTGGCCCCTCCTCTCTCTTGTTTCAAGGTGCTGACCTACACTTGCACAAACAATATTCCTTTCTCACTCGGCTTATTTGTGGAAATAAGAAACTCGCACACTTGTTTAAGAAGAGTTGGAGCAGGAGTTAAGAAGGTGGGGGCCCAGAAGTGTGGAGGCACTTAGCTGTTGGTGGAGGGCGTGGTAACAGGGGCTTTTCTTTCTTTCCTCCTGCAACACAAAGGCCCTGTACTGGGAACACACTGACTTGCCTTTCTGATTACCTTCAAGTGTCCAGCTTTTCAACGCTATGTGAATTATGAAATGTGTTTTAGTAGTTAAAAAGTAGTTTTGTTTTCCAAATAAAAGACCCTAATCTGTTCTCTCTTCCAGGGGCACAGGAAGTTCTCATTGATCCAGGTACATCATCTATGTGCTTAGTTTCTTTTTGTTATTTTTTTTTTTTTAAGTGCTTGTTTCATGGTGGTGTGAATGAATTGTTAAAATTTCTGGATTGTGATCTTGGGAACATTCTGATTTAAGAAACTTTAAATCAGAACTGTTAAAAACCTGATTATTATTTGGTCCTTGTTTGATGGGGCACGCTATTGCTTTGTGTTGTCTGTTGAAGAAGAAAATTCTTGCCCTAGCATGGTTAAGTGAATATGTGCCTTAGTTCTCTGAGTGCACTGTGCATGCCTGTCCTGTCAGTTTTGAACTCATTTATAATAATGACTTCACTCCGATTCTGTGGCTGTGCTCCTTTCAAATGACTTCAAATTCTCTACTGCATTTCGCACATGTGTTCATAATGGGGAAAGAAATTTTGCATTTTTTTTGCACAGGTGGGTTTTTCTTTCCCTTCTTCATACCTTCTGTAATTAACATAGCAAAAATCTATCCTGTTTCAGTGCTCAGTCATTTTGTGATGAGCGCTGGTGTTTTCTGGTCTCCTCTGAAGAACAGTCAGGCAGGGCACTTCCATGGCACAGGGTGGTTATCCACGTTTGTCCCCCATATCTCTCCATTCTGAAATGCAGCTGCCTCAGGTTTGGAGACTCTGTTTTAATATTTGTGTCCCCTCCTTTCTCTAGATTGGTGGCTCAAGATTTTGTAGGGTTTGTGGAAAGCGCAGAGGAAGGACAACAAAGTGCCTTTGCTTTCAGGAGACTCAGTTGCCGCTGGGGCCTGTGTGCAGGGCCTTCCTGCTCCAGCTGAGTGTATGTGCCACTCCAGGGCTCAGTTGACCTGGGGCTGATGTTTGACCAGGAGACACTTACTGAGCCTGGACCAGCTCATTGTGCCTCATAGGAGATGTTAAATTTCCCTGTGTTACCGCATTGCTTGTACAAGTGGCTAGAGCTACTTCTAAAAGTCAGATGTTTCTTCCAATTAAAAAAATTAGTTGAGATAAAGAATATTTTTATAAATTTTTGCAAAGTTTCAAAATAAATTGTGTAGAGATGAGATTGGTTTGGGGTGCTGGGAGAGGGGTGACGGCAATCACCAGCCTCATTATTCAGGGACATCTGGATCATGCTACCAAGGGGAAGGCTGCTGGGAAAGGACGTGGACCCTGGCTGGCACTGGCCTGAGGGTGCCTTCTGCAGGTGTCCCCATGAGAGTTGTGTGGACCTGCCTGCCTGCCAAGGGGCAGCAAGGAGGCAGCCTCCCCCACTGCTGCAGGGCACGACATTTTTTTTTTAATTGAACCCAGGGGTGCTCTACCACTGGCTATAGCCCGTCCTTTTTACTTTTAATTCTGAGACAGGCTGGCCTTGAACTTGTGATCCTTTTGTCTCAGCCTTCCCACTTGCTGGGATTAGAGGAGTATGCCACTGTGCCCAGCTTGTGAGGTCTTTGGGTGGAGACTGAACGCATCTGATGAGAGCTGGCTGTCTTCTCTACCTCCCTTCTCTGCTGCTCCAACCCTTGAAGATGTGCTAGCAGCAGGGGTACTGGTGGGGGTCGCTCTGCAGCTCTCAGGAGGCTCTGAGTATAAAGAGCTAATGCTCCCTCAGGGGTGATAGGATTGCTTCGCCCTGCAGAAAGCCCATCCACATGCAGCCATTCCATTGCGAAATATCCCACTTTTATTTATTTATTTTAAGTTTTTATTTGGTCTAATTAGTTTTACATGACAATAGAATGCATTTGACACTTCATACATAAATGGAGTATAACTTCTCATTCTTCTGGTTGTACATGATGTAGAGTTAGACAGATTGTATAAATCACATATGCATGTCGGGTAAATAATGTCTGGTTCATTCTACTATCATTCCTACCCCAGTTCCCTCCCTTCCCTTCACTCCCTTCTGTCTAGTCCATAGTACCTCTATTCTTCCCTAGCCACCCCCCCATTTTATTCATTTTTGAGTTTTTTTTAAAAATATTTTTTTAGTTGTTGATGGACTTTATTGTCTTTATTTTTATGTGGTGCTGAGAATCGAACCCAGTGCCTCATGCATGCTAGGCGAGCACGCTACCACTGAGCCATAATCCCAGCTTCTAATTTTTGAGTTTTAAATGAAGATAGTATTTGTTTCCCCACAACCGTTTACAAAACCCCAAGAAAAGCTGGGCAGTCGGGGGGGTGTGTGCTGTGCTGCTTACTTGAGGGTGACCTGTGTCCTCCGACCTGCACCCTGCGGGTTCTTGGCCTGCACTCCAGGCCGTGCTTCTCTTCTCACTGCTCTGTTCCTCCTAAACTCTGCACATTCAGCATGCCCTTGCTCAGGGACGCAGGGACGCTTCTGACGCTCCCTGGCTTGCACTTGCGCTCCCACCCCGTGGCGAGGGTTATTTCTTCCTGTGTGTTTGTCGCGTGAGAGCACTGCTCTCAGCTGCTTTGTTTTTAAAAGAACTTGAATGTAACTCCCCCGTTGAAAGTGTACGGTTGAGTGGGTTTCCGGTACTCATCAGAGTTGTGTGGCTGTAAGTACAGCTACTTTTAGGACATCACACCAACAAGCAACCCCTGTACCAATCACTATTGCGTCCTGTTCGTTCCCTCCACCCTCCTCCAGCTCGAATAGTAATTTACTTTCTTCTCTTCTATGATTTGCCTGATCTGCACGTTTCACATGAATGGGAACATATGACACATGGTCTTTTGTGACTGCCTTTTTTTTGTACTGGGGGTTGAACCCAGAGGTGCTCTACCTCTGAACTACACCCCAGCTCTTGTTATTTTTTGTATTTTGAGGTAGGGTGTTTTAAGTTGCTTGCTGGCCTTGAACTTGTGACTCTTGGCCTGCTCCTGGGTGGCTGGGCCTCGTGGCTGTGTCTGCGCTGTCTCTTCTTCCTCCTAGTGCTCTTCTGCTCATCCTTTCTCTCAGTTGGACGTTGGTGTTGCTGGGAAGGACTGCGCTGGGAACACTTTGGTGCAGGTTTCCGGGTGACCTGTGTTTGAAGCTCTCATGTGCATCTGGCAGAAGAGTTGCCAGGTCATGTGTAGTTCAATGTTGAAAAGCCGCCACACTCTTTTCCTAAGTGGCCCCACCACTTTGCCTTCCCCCAGGGTGTGCAGGAGTTTCTTCCTCTCTGTCCTCACTGGCATCTGTTAGCCTCAGCCGTCCTAGCAGGTGTGAAGTGGTGCCTCCCTGTAGTTGTGGTTTGTGTTTCCTATAAAGCTGGTGAGCATCCTTTCCTGCGTTGATTGGTTATTGGTATATTCCCTTTGGAAAAATGTCTATTTGGGTCCCTTATCCCTTATTTTTTAAATTGGGCTGGTTTTTTTTTTTTTTTTTTTTTTTTTTACTGTTAAGCTGTAACAGTTGTTTTCATATTGTAGATGGGAGTCACTTACCTGCTGTGGAATTGGTAGAACCTGGTGGTCCAACAGCATCCTCAGACAGTAGTGTTCGTGAGCCTGCATCTGCAAGCTGAGTCTTGACACAGCCCTGTTGTGGGTTTCACAAGGGGAATGTTAGGTCTAGATGACCCAGAAGCACCTGTGGTCTGGTAGGCTTGAGGAGCTCCACCAGCCCCCCAAGACGTTTTCACTGTGGCAGAACTGTCCTAGACACATTATGGTTAACGGCAGAGTAGACTCGTTAACTAGATTTGAGAGAGACATGTAATACTGGCTGCTTGTCTTAATTAAAATATTCTGCTTTCATTAAAGTAATTAGTACCCATGAGTAAACAAAAATTAAGTTTGCATTTGTATGGGACATAGGGGCAAACTTCGTATTAAATTTTCTGTTTTTCAGAGCGTGTTATAGCTTTTCAACAAGGTTCTAACTTTAGAATTCTATTTTAAACATCACTCCCAGCTCTAATGTTGTTTGACCGAGTTTGTCCTGCCTTATGCACAGATTTCCACTTTCTTGTAGGTAAAGATTCTCCTTTCATTATATTGGGTTAGTGTTAAGAGTTATAGGGCTTCTAGGCCTTTTTTGTCCCTATATTTGAAGTTGGCTGTCAAATGGGATATTACCTGTATTTCTTTGGTTTTCATTATGCAGTTAGAATTTTTGAAAGTGAATTTGTTTTAATATGTTACATATGCTTCCCAAGGAACTCGATGTTCTTGAGTTTTTAACATATAAAAAGCTTAAATGCTCTCTTGTTTGTAAGTTTTTTCCCACTGGGTATTTGTTTACTCTTTATTCTTAAAATTTTTTTCTTTTTAAGGAATAAGTGTGCATGTTTTAAAAAATGATCATTTTCTCCCTTATTATATAGATCATGTTCATTGTAGAAAATTTAGGAAGTAAGAGTAAGTAGGTAAATTGTAAGGTTACTCCTCCCTCACCCCAGATAAGATATGTAAATTTTATAATCTGGAGGTGAAGCCCTCCAAATTTCTTCTTTTCTTTTGAGATGTTTTTGATTATTCCACATCCCTTGAATGTTCGTCTGAATTTTATTATTATTATTTTATTTTTTTTTAAAGAAAGAGTGAGAGAGTGAGAGAGAGAGAATTTTAATATTTATTGTTTAATTTTCGGCGGACACAACATCTTTGTTTGTATGTGGTGCTGAGGATCGAACCCGGGCCGCACGCATGCCAGGCGAGCGCGCTACCGCTTGAGCCACATCCCCAAGCCCTCGTCTGAATTTTAGGATCAGATAGTCAATTTCTACAAAGATTCTAGCTTCGATTTTGGTAGGGATTCTATTGGGTCTGTGCGTCAATTTGGGGAATATTACCCTCTTAAGAATATTTTTTCCTCCAGACCTTGGGCACGGGGTGGCTTTCCATTATCTTTGTCAGCATCCTTGTTGTGTGGTTACCCCTGGGATTTAGCCCTTCGAGGCTAAGTACTTATCACTGAGCTGGATCCTCAATCCTATCTTTAATTTTTTTCAGCAGTGGCTGGGGTTTTCAGAGTATCCCATCATATATTTTTTTTTGTTTTTAAATTTATTTTTTATTGTTTTTTGGTACTGAGGATTGGACCCAGGCCGCT